ACACCACCTCTTGACAGCAATGACTGGGTACGGTTTGGGCCTAATCACAATCCATTCTGACTACGGACTACTCTGCGAGTGATTTATCATTTGATTAATTATCCGACAAGAGGCTAATTCGCGCGTCATGTATTAAGGCGCGAGTCCCGTCGACTGACCAAACGAACGGGGCTGAGAAAGGTTCAGACAAATTCAGTCCTTCGCCACGAACCAGCGAGTGAAAACAGTCTCCCTCTTGCTCTCCATTTGGGCAACATGAGGGTGGCGTCATTTGACTGAAGCTCCGAATCCAAGTGTGTCTGTGCCATGAAACTCGATACGTTGGCACGTTAACTCGAACCGGTAGGAACGTCTGGTGATGCGTACTAGTGATATCGTTGTCGTTTTCCCTGTTATTCACGCTTGCTTTCATCTTAGTCTGCGAGGGGGGGNNGGGGGAGACTGAGAAACTCTTTGAAGTTCCGCCACAAACTGCGTCTCATTATACTTTGTTCATTTCCAGCCGCCATCATCAGATGTACCACGAAATTAGTGCCGCTTATTCGATAGAATTCTAGTGTGCGCCCACCTAACCCGTCTCCACTGCTCTGTAGCTGAGATGTAATCCTCCTACTCCGTGCGTGTGTTTAGATCCCCCTCCAAAATAACGGTTGACGTACACTGCCAAAATTCTCCACATCCACGTGGAGTGCGCGAAAATTAGCTTACCGTTCTCATTTTTCAAAAATGAGACAGTAAACAAAAAAACCACAGATAAGAATAAACCCAGGAGAACGTTCAATCCCCAAAATGGTAAGGGATTTCTTTTTGTTCCCGTTGTATACGAGATCCCGGGGATCAGAGTACAGCGCAATGGGGCTTCGTCACTTTAAACTGTCCTATTTTTCCCTGGTTGAAGGTCCGAATGCGACTGTCGATGAGGAGATAGTGATGAGTGGTAAATATCTGTTGCACTTAAGACGAGCAGAACCTTGCCATAAAAATGATAAAGTGGATGGCATTTTGAGAAACACACGAAGCAAATGCGACACGGCAGATCATCTTATAACATGTGCGTTAATCCGTTACAGATGCAATCCCGAGCTCCTCGAACGACACCCAACTTGGTGGGAAACAACTTCGCTGTCAACTGATCCAAAGCGGTTCAGATTAAAGAGATCCTTTAACTAAATACTCAGCAGACTTGATATATATATATATATATATATATATAACAGACGGTTTCCTGTGCATCTACCGTACATCACACACGAGATTCACCGAAAGTGAGTGGAACACAAAGGGGGTACGTAGAAAAAGTTGTTCGCTCACAGAACCACACGCGAATACACAGACATCACTCACCTTCGTCTGACAGTGTCGACCACCGAAACCGAGTGAACAATTGCAACGATAAGAGCCCGGAGTATTCACACACACTCCACGTCCAATCTCGTACGGACTGCACAAACCACCGGCAGTCGAATCGATCCATTTAAGGTCGGATGAGGAGGAGGAAGATGAACTGGAACCCCCGTTTAGGAGCACTGTACTGTGACCCGAGCCACGCGAACGACGTCGCGCGAACAGGGCTTCGGCTAATGCACACTCGTCAATATCCTGTTCACAACGTCCACCCTGCCACCCGACACGACAAACGCATGCAGGACCACTAGGGGATTCAACGCACTGACCACCGTGGAGGCACACATTCAGAGGTGCTTTGGTTGATCCACTCGATGACGCACTCGAACTAGGATGGGATCCAGCCCGATTCCAACCAGATGAATGATGAGAACGTCGCCGAGCAGGTTGTATCTGTTGCAGAACAAGCTGTGCGGCATGGCATCCAAGCCCGGGTGATTGGGTGAAACGATTGTCTACGGATGAGGACGAGGCGGCAGACTCTGTTTCAGAACTGTCATGAATCAGTTCACAATGCAATCCAGATACACCGGCAGGGCAAACACAACGATAGGCAGCAAGTCCGGAACTAGTGGCACTTGGGCCAACACTGGGACCAAATAAAGGTTGACAACTGAATAGAGGAGAAAAAACGAGAATCGAGAAACGGGAGGTATGCGAAGTTGATTATTAGTCCGGCATTTAGCAAAATAAGGAGGGAAAGCTAGGGAAAAACAGCCGCGAGGAAGTCCATGAGGTCAAGTATACAATCGACTACAGCACGATTCAGTATTCATCGAACAGAACACACTGGTGGCTTTAGTTTATTCAACAGTTCAGACTGACACACTAAATACATAGAGAGAGACATTTATCCAGAATCATTTATTGTTGGTAAAAGAACACGCGTCAAGAGAATTCATTTTCATGCCAACAGAAGTGGCTAGCAATCAAGCTCCCGTTTCTTCCAAGTTGGAATTTGTTGAATTCCCAAATCACACTAGAACCTTCATCAACCAACGAACAGGTCGTTTCACTGTCAGTCACTCCTACAGCGTACCGTACTGACACTCCGAAAGCCTCAGCATGGTCGGGGGTGCGTGTCTACGGTTTCGGCTGGTTACTCTACCCTTGCACCGCGCGAAATGCTCACATACGAACAAGCGTCTCAAATAGCCTCTACTAAGAAAGCCCTACTCATTGCCTTCCCGTGGCGGAGGTGTTTCCCCACCAAAGTGAGAGGACGAAAAACCGACAACCGGGGATATAACCCGGTTGGTGGACCACTGGTAGTTCACCTAGGGGAGTTGGCCAAAAAACCCTGATTCCAAACCAACCATGAAGAGGCGTACGAACCACACACACAACTTCCTGGTTATGGCAGCGGTCACCGACTCCATTGGACATCGAGGTGGACTCGAGGTGGACACCGAGTATGCTATACAGGCTTGGAATCCATGGCTGATAGCGACCAAAAGGCACTTGAACGTCCGCAGAGAACAGCAACCAAAATGGTCGAAGGGTTACAATCCAAGACCTATGGTGAAAGACTGCGAATTCTCGGACTCTACTCATCTGAATACCGTCGAATACCGAGAGACATGATCCTCGTTTATCAAATACTACATCAACCAAACCACCCGTGTAGTACTCTAGTAACGCTATCCAGGAATGGTCACCTCCAAGGACATCCGTTCAAACTTCTGCTCCAAAAAAGCCGGCTCCACTGCAGGTGTCATTCTTTCAACCTCAGAGTTTGTAACACCTGGAACTCCCTACCACCTCAAGCTGTTGGTGCACCAAACATCAATTCATTCAAGTCACGACTGGATGAAGCATTGAACCACATAACTTTTCAGTACCCGTGAGTGAATGTCAGAATTTGCTATTCATATGTACTACCAACCGAACCCAGTGTGTGTACAGACCCTATGGGATTAAATAAGTATCAGCTTTGTAATTTACCCATAATCAAAAACTTGAATTTGAGGTGTATTGGGCACCTTGGACTTTGACTCTGTCCCAAAGGAGTATGATACGATCAAGTAGACACCGGCTCCCAATGGACTGCGGGTTTTACACACCGCCCCGCTGCCTTGCGGGTCATGCTTTGGATAGCTGAAGGCTCCAGTTGTGGATTCCTCAAGAAAATTCACCTGCCTTGGACTGGGCAACCTGGCAGTATTCCGCCAACAAGCAAATCATGAAACGTTTTTCTTTTTATAAAGATTATTGTACCATGATTTGTTTGGCACACAGTCTGTCCTCAGACAAGTGTGAAAACATATATACTATATACGTTTATCAGCTAAGTTGTTTAATTCAGTCGCGCTGTGAAAATACAAATGATGACCAACATGCGTCTTATGAAAATGAATACATAACGAGAGTAGACATTTCCACACTATTCCATATTGAGAATAAACAGCCCGTTTTCGGCGAACTGTGTTGATGGCAAATACGTTGCAACATATATGCATTACCGATCCGATCTATCTGCTCTGTTTGAAAAAAAACCGATGTATGCGAGTAAGGTCTGATCTACTCATTGTCCACCCTTTGCTGCCCCAACCCACCCGGAAATTCCAATAGGTCGGATGAGGAAACAATTGTGCGTATCACACATGATCTTAAGACAGAAAGACCCTCAGCCAA